CAAAACTCAAAAACAGTGGACAGGATGCTAAGTATATACCAGAAATATTTGTCGAACCCTGGACCCAAAAGGCAGCGTGCTGGCCTTCACAGACCCACACAGATGGAAGCAAAGTTGACAACTGCTCAATCCAACTACTGAGAAAGCCCATAAAAGAGGAACAATCCATAACTGCACCAACCTCCCAACAGCAATCAAATTACATGTAACGAGAGAGAGAGATCCGGGTGCCAAATTCATTCTAGTAGCACCCCAAGGACCGTCTTCTTTCTTCTCTTGTGCCATGCTAGGAAGTCACCATCTGTGGTTGGCATGACTATTACTTCTCTCCTTCCCTCAATTCAAGGAGGGCCACAGCCCACTTACTGAGACAGGTAAGAAAAAATAATATTGGTTTCCTTTTCGGAACTCAAACCTTTGGTTCATTTGAACGGTGGCTTCATCCATCTACTTTTCAGTGTGAGAATTGAATGAAGAGCTGTAAGTTAGTTTGCGAAAGTTTCCCTGACATTAGATCTAATATTTTTATTACATATTTCACCTTAAAATAATTTAAACATTTTAATAATAAAATAATAATAATATAAAACGATACAGCTATACTGCAGAAAAGATGTAGATTGAAGGTATGAGTCTACCACTCAAAAATCATGTTAACATCATATTTATTTCATTTTATTTTATCCTTGGTTTTTATTACTTCTTTCCCATCTTTTCCTGTGAATCTTGCCCAGGAGAGGAAGATTACATTGTATCCAGGGGCATTGTATATTGAATGTGTACTGTTGCTTTATGCTTTTTTTCCCACTTTTATCAGCATGTTCCTCTGTGTGTATGCATGTGTTTCTGAAGACTAGGACATGCTTAATCTTTTATTCAATCTTCACATAAATCTCCTTTGATAACATAGTCTTAGCTAATTAACTTTCCGATTTACCTCTCCATAAACAACTGGTGTTTGGGCCATCAAGGAAATATGAAAGCCAGCAAAAGAGTATCTGAGGCCGTGTTCAGCACCAAATAGACTAATTTTGATGGTCAGGTTTCTTTAAATAAAATTTCAGAAATAACAACCCACCCGCAGAAAGTGAAATGATGATTGTAACCTTTGGCATAACTATATGCCTTTTCTTTATGAAGACCTAAGATTCACCCTGAAAATTCCATTTTGAGAGCTGTAAGCATCTGATTTCTGCCAAGTCGAAAACTTATTTAAAAGTAAAAAATGTATTTCCACAAAACTGTGCAGTCACCTTTCCTTCTCCTCTGTCTTAATCTCACTGGCAGACCTGCCTGATAATGCCGTAGAGCAAGGCCTGCCCCGGACATTTATTCCCTGAAGGCCTTCAGGAATTGTAGAATCGATGAGCCAAATGCCACCCACATCCCGAACCCCACCCTTGGTATTTTAGAGGTTATTTCTTAGGGAAGTTGGTATCCCTTTCCCCAGAGGCTAGTGTTAGAGCACAGAAAAAGCCCCCAGGTGAAAGGGGTTTTGCTAGGAAAATGCAGGATAGTAGCGTCTTCTCCCCAGCAAGAGCAGAGGAGGCCCAGATTTGAGCCCAAGTCAAATCCACTGGGGGAACATCCGGAATATAAACCGTGTGCTACCCCCAAGCATAGCCGTCAGTGACAAGGAGGCCTTATACGGAAACGGGGCAGCGCCGAAGGAAAAGAAAGGAAAACAGGGAGGACACGGGCAAAGGAAAACTTTGCATGTCTCGGTCCTAGGTAGCGTTTAAACTAAGGAGGTATCAGGGGAAACATCTGTTTTCAACCCGAGTTACCCGCGAACTTTTTCCTGGAGAGAAGCTCCCAGAGCAATTTACAGCATTCCAGCCTGAGGATTTCGTGCCAGACGCTCTGAATAAACCTTTAGAAACCGAAGCTGCCGGGGAGGACCAGGAGTGTGCAGGGGAGGTAGCGCCTCCAAAGACCTCAGCGCCGGGGACGGAAAGCGAACCCCAGGCTGTGTGAACGTTTCTGTGTTTGTTCGGTGCAGCCGGTGCCTCGAGCGCACTGCAGGCCGCCCTCGCCTTCCTCCGAGCGGCAGCGCGCTAGGGAGCGTCCCGTACTGGCGGATCGGACCCGACCAGAGCCCCGGGCGCCTCCGAGGAGGCAGGAGGCAGTTCGGGTTTGTGCAGAACTTCGGGAATCTCCGAGCAAATGCTAACCCCGCATCTGAGAGGCGGGGGAAAGGTGGCCAGGCACCTGGGTTTCGGGGTTAGGAGCACAGGGGTAAAGAGGGCTCGGGTCGGGCCCAAGGACCGCGCGACCGATAGGGGGCGTCCCGTCACTGCGGGAGCCGGGGGCAAGCGCTCCCGGTGCGCTGGAATCCCGACCACCGACCCTGCGAGAACTTGAAAGGTTCGCTCTTTAGGAAGGGAGCGCTCCTTCCTCCCCTGGACCTCCTCTCTAGGTCCCTTTCGCTCCTTTGCTCGTGGAATAATTTCTAGAACCATAGTTTCAGTCAGGACCAAAAAGAGAAAGGGAAATGGAATACATACACACATGGACAGATTAGGTTAACCAGTTAACTCCATACACACGAGAAAGCTATGTGTCTTGTCGTTGTTTCGCAGGTTTGTCTGTTTGGGCGTCTCTTTTTTACTGAAATTGAGAAGCGCTCCCTGGGCGGGGCGGGGGGGGGGTGGAATTGACAAAGTGTTTCGAGGTGTGCGTGTATGTGTATAGCTGCGTTTCTGTCCTGAGCCTCTGCAGAAAGCTTTAAAAAAAAAAAAACAAAAAAAAACAAAAAAACAAAAAAACAAAAAAGAAAACAAGCAACTTACCTCTTGAGTGCCAGTGCGCACCCCTCTTTCCCAAGCCCTGGGGAGAACAGTTATATTGCTCCCCTCATGCTCTGAGACCCGGTGAGAGATGCCGGGAATCTGTCTCTTGGGCTCCCCAGCACCCACGTACACTAAATGTGCATATACCCCACAACACACTTCCTAGGTGCACCGGGCTGGCCTGCCTCTCCTGAGAGCCCTCTGGGCTGCGCAGGGCTTTGAAAGCCATTCAGACTTCAGCTTTGGGGGATCCTACCCTGGCACTCTCTAACCCCCTCACTATGAATGGGTCAAACCATTTGAGGTTCAGCAAAAAAGGTGGTACCAGCGACTGCATCTGGTTCAAAGAGATGCAGGCCTGGGATAGGTGGGGGAAAAGGAAAGGGTGGCTTCCCTGCATGGACTGCTCTTCCTCGCTGTCCTTCTAGACTGACCCTCATACAATCCTTCCATTCTCGGTGCTCAGCTCCTGTCTTCTGACACCATTACCCATCACTTTGGCCGGTGGACCAGATACCCACTATTTCCTATTTGTTCTTTTTCTCTGTGGTGAGGGCTCAGGGCTGAATCCTCATGGCCCAGCCTGTTTTTAGAACCAAGAAAAGAAGTCCACATCAAAACCTGCAATAGCCCCAAACCCTGCAATCTGGGCTCACTAAGGTGTTGGTAGCTGGCCCAGGACAGATGATAAGCTGAACCCAGAAGCGGTAGCAAAAATAAAAAGGAAGTATATGGTTGCGGGGCTTCTAATTCTTATAGAAGAGCCCCTCAAGAAAGCAGAGAGCAGAGACCCTCCTGAAGTAAATTCCATGTGTCCCATTATTGATTCCTTTATTCCCCTCTCTCCTCCCGCCTCACCCCCCACCTCCTGCCCTGTTTGTTTTAGTTACGAAATGCTGTGGGCACCTCGGTTGTGACTGCAAAGTAACCTTGAAACACGGCGTCCTGAATGTCAGAGACAAATAGCAGTCTCCCAACCGTCGACTGCAGCTGGCGGGGCCGTGCGCGCCCCGCGCTCGGCGATCGGACAGTGCTCTTGCCCGACAGCCACTCCCCTGCCTGTCGCGGGAGGCTGGGCTCGGAAGAGGAGAAAGCCACGGCGGCCGGACTAGGCGCGCCCCGCACGCCTTCCGGAGCCGCTCTGGGTCTTAACTGTAACAGGGAGGGGCGTCCCAGGAGCAGCGGCAGGCGAGTTCAAGGTGTGTACACAGTTTTTCTAAATACGACAGCGCTTTACAAATTGGCTCTGTCACCGTCTTGTCGTTTTGACAGGGAATGAGCACTGAGAGCGAAGAAACCTGGGATGAGTAAATGCGGCGTTTCTAAGGCTCTGCGCAGGGGCAACCGGGCGCTGAGGCCGGGCTTGCCCTCCGACAGGCGCACCAGGCGCCGGGCGCTATGGGACCTGGCGGGGGGGGCAGAGCCTTGGGCCGCTACTGGGGTGGCTTCCTCCCAGGTCCCTCCTCCCACGGGCACTCCCCGCGCGCGCGGGGGGGAATGGGGGCTGGAGCAGGGAGCCTGCGCGCCCACTCGCCCCGCTCGCCTGGCCTGGTACCGGTGCGGGGCGCGGCGGCAGTGGGGCGGGCGCCGGGCGCCGAGGGGCAGGTGCCGGGCGCCTGCCGAGGCTCCCTCTCACCTAGGTGTGAGCTGATTATTCAAATGGGCTGCCCCGGGTCTGGGGATTGGAGGCCCGCGCCAGCGCGCCGCGCTATATCACCAGCCGCCCACGTCACTGCGGCACTTGTCCGCTCCGCGGTCCACACCTCCTCCTCCTCTCCTCCTCCTCCTTCTCCACCTCCTCCTCCTCCTCTCCTCCTCCTCCTCCTCCCTCTCTCCACCCCCCCACCCGCCCCCGCGCCGCGCACTTCCCGCCGCCTCCGGGCAGCTAGCACTGCCAACCTCGGCCTCCGCCCGGCAGCCCGAAAACGCGGCGGCAGCTGAGGCGGGCGCTCCCTACAGCGGGGCTCGGGTCCGGGCCTCCTCCCTTCCTTGGCCCCCTCCTCCCGTGACTGACCCCTCCCGCCTGTTCCAACTACCGCCTCCGGCCGGCCAAGGGAAAGAGAGGGAGTGGAACGGGAGAGAGGGAGTGCGAGAGAGGGAGGGAGGGGACGGTGCCTTGGCTGACTTTTTTTTTTTTTTTTTTTTAAGAGGGTGGGGGTGGGGGGTGATTGCTGGTCGTTTGTTGTGGCTGTTAAATTTTAAACTGCCATGCACTCGGCTTCCAGTATGCTGGGAGCGGTGAAGATGGAAGGGCACGAGCCGTCCGACTGGAGCAGCTACTATGCCGAGCCGGAGGTAGGCACTCGCCTTTTCCTGGGGGAAGTGGGGTGGTGGCGTTCGCACTGTTCCCCAACCTCAGGACCGTTTCCCTCGCCGGCACCCGCCCCCCACCCCCAGCCGCTCTGGGCAGCCGCCTTTTCCACCCTCCTTCGACTCAAATGGGTCTCTTTTTTATACGACACACTGTTAGCCTTGAGATAATATTAACTTTGTGATCAAATATTGACTTGCGGCGCCTCCAAATCCTCTTCGTGGCCGAGCCACGCACTATCCTAACAGAGTTATGTTTGGCAGCGCGCGGCTGGGGAGGGGTGGGAGGTCGGCCGGCGAGGGGGTGGGGAGCTGGAGAGAAGGTGGGTAGGAGTTGGGGGCTGAGGTAGAGGCAGATTCAAAGACTAGAGACAAAGAGAAGGAAAGTTTGTGGCTACAAAGCCCAGCCGCGTGTTCTCGGTCTCCTCCCTGCCCCTCAACTCAGTGCCTCCAGCTGGCCCCAGACTCTGCGCAGGCGCTGGGTTTTGGTTCCCCTGGGGCCAAGGATGGGGTCCCAAGAGGAAGGATGAACGGAGGAGCCTGGGACAATCTCCGCTTGAGGCTGCTGGGCGCCCGCCCTAGGCTGTGACCCACAGGTTGTTCACTAGGGTCGGAGGCGGCGACCGAGGCCGCGGCGCGGATTCGGTATGCTGGCCTGAGAGTTGAGGAAAGGAGATGCATTTGGGGTGCCTGATCTAGGGGAGCTCCGGGGGACCCTTGCTTTAGAATCTGAGCAAGGGGCAGAAGGGCTAGGATCCAGCCACATGCAAACAGCAGCAACCTGCTGGCCAACTCCTCCAGGGCGATCCCGGCTTTCTCCGGGTGAAACGGACTCGTTGTCCGGGGCCCAGGGGGCCGGCCGAGGGAAGGACTCCCCAGAGGCCTCCTCGCAGGCTGGGGCCTGGGCTAGCCCGGTCGGTGGGAGGTCAGGGCACGCTCTAGTTTCGATGCTAACCCTGTGCGCCTCCCTCCCCGGGCTCTGTCCGCAGGGCTACTCCTCCGTGAGCAACATGAACGCCGGCCTGGGGATGAACGGTATGAACACTTACATGAGCATGTCCGCGGCCGCCATGGGCAGCGGCTCCGGCAACATGAGCGCCGGCTCCATGAACATGTCCTCGTACGTGGGCGCGGGCATGAGCCCGTCCCTGGCCGGCATGTCCCCCGGGGCGGGCGCCATGGCGAGCATGGGTGGCTCAGCCGGGGCGGCCGGTGTGGCGGGCATGGGGCCGCACCTGAGTCCCAGCCTCAGCCCGCTCGGGGGACAGGCGGCCGGGGCCATGGGCGGCCTGACCCCCTATGCCAACATGAACTCCATGAGCCCCATGTACGGGCAGGCGGGCCTGAGCCGCGCGCGCGACCCCAAGACGTACCGGCGCAGCTACACGCACGCCAAGCCGCCCTACTCCTACATCTCGCTCATCACCATGGCCATCCAGCAGAGCCCCAACAAGATGCTGACATTGAGCGAGATCTACCAGTGGATCATGGACCTCTTCCCCTTCTACCGGCAGAACCAGCAGCGCTGGCAGAACTCTATCCGCCACTCTCTGTCTTTCAACGACTGCTTCCTCAAGGTGCCCCGCTCGCCGGACAAGCCCGGCAAGGGCTCCTTCTGGACCCTGCACCCCGACTCGGGCAACATGTTCGAGAATGGCTGCTACTTGCGCCGCCAGAAGCGCTTCAAGTGTGAGAAGCAGCTGGCCCTGAAGGAAGCCTCAGGCGCCACGGGCAGTGGCAAGAAGGCCGCCGCTGGGGCGCAGGCCTCGCAGGGTCAACTAGGGGAGGCCGCCGGGCCGGCCTCTGAGACTCCAGCGGGCACTGAGTCGCCCCACTCGAGCGCCTCTCCGTGCCAGGAGCACAAGCGAGGGGCCCTGGGGGAGCTGAAGGGGACGCCGGCTGCGGCCCTGAGCCCCCCGGAGCCGGCGCCATCGCCAGGGCAGCAGCAGCAGGCTGCGGCCCACCTGCTTGGCCCTCCCCATCACCCGGGCCTGCCGCCGGAGGCTCACCTTAAGCCCGAGCACCACTACGCCTTCAACCCCCCCTTCTCCATCAACAACCTCCTGTCCTCGGAGCAGCAGCACCACCACAGCCACCACCACCACCAGCCCCACAAAATGGACCTCAAGGCCTATGAACAGGTGATGCACTACCCTGGCTACGGTTCCCCTATGCCGGGTAGCCTGGCCATGGGCCCGGTCACGAACAAAGCGGGCCTGGATGCCTCGCCACTGGCCGCAGACACCTCCTACTACCAGGGAGTGTATTCAAGGCCCATAATGAACTCCTCTTAAGAAGATGCTGGAGCCGGCTAGCTTGGGACAAGGACAAGAAAAAAGGAAGTGGGGTGGAGAGTTTGAGGGAGGGGTGCTGGAGAGATCCAAGGGAGAAGAAATCTATTACATCCTCACCCCCAGGACAGCAGCCTCCCCTTACCCTCAGCAGCTCTCCCTCCCAAACAGATGGGCCACACTGATATCTATTATTCTACATAAGGAGGGAAGGCAAAAAGAGAAATAGTCAAAACAAACAGACAGAAAAGAGGAAGAAAAGAGCAAAAAGCCTCTGGTTTCCACTACTGTGTAGACACCTGCTTCTTTAAGCATTTGCAAGTTCTGATTTTTTTGTTGTTGTTGTCTTTCTCCTCCATTGCTGCTGTTGCAGGGATGTCTTACTTTATTAAAAAATGAAAAACAAAAAAACAAAAACAAAAACCCACAAACTTTTGTGAGTGATTCAGTGTAAAACCATGTAGTTTTAACAGAGAAGCAGAGTTGTACTATTGTTTAAAAAGGAAAAAAAAAAATGTAAGGGTCTGTTGTAAATGACCAAGAAAAGAAAAAAAAAATGCATTCCCATTCTTGACACGGTGAAATCCAGGTCTCGGGTCTGATTAATTTATGGTTTCTGCGTGTTTTATTTATGGCTTATAAATGTGTGTTCTGGCTGGAAGGGCCAGAGTTCCACAAATCTATATTAAAGTGTTATTGCCAGTTTTACCCCTTGGATCTTCAAGATTTTTTTTTCCTTTTGCCTGACTTGAAAAATAAACAGGTCCAGAAATTATTTAGAAGTGGGGGGAAGGGGATCCTGTCTGATTGGAGATTTCATTTTATTTTGGTGAAGGGGGGGCATGATGGTTGTTGTTTTAACATTTTATTATTAAAACTTTCAGACAAACTGAAGTACAACAGATTTTACAGAAAACACACATGTGCCCATTGCCCAGATCCAACAACTATTGTTTCACTATTCTTGTTATATCACATATCTGTCCAGCTATCTGCACCTCCATTGATTAATTCAGGTTATTTTTTCTAAATGTATTTCAAATGCGATCAAGCTCATTCAGCATGGTATGGCCATAGACCTAAATGCATTTCAAAGTAAATTTCAGACATCAGTACACCTACCCCTAAACACTTCAGCAAGCACATCATTAAATAGAACTCAATATTATTTATGATAACTTTTGGAGTTTTGAGTTGATCTTTACACACACTGACTCACACAGATCCAAGGTGGACCATTCCCGGGTTTGAAGCAGGTTTACCTTTAAAGTTGAGAGAAAACATATATCTTAATTTCCCATCTGGGTCATGTGAAGGAACAATGTCGTTGATGTCTCTTGGGCCCCAGGAAGCTGACTTCTCTGGGGCGAAGCCTGTATTTTACTGTATTTCCAATCTTAGGCCTCCCTTCAAGTCAGTGAGCCCAGATTGGATTTGCAAATTCCTGGTGCACCACTTTCATCTCTGCTTCTCTGGCACCCCTTTACCCTCCTACAGAACTGGAACTCTGCGTAGATCCTACAGCCTCAGGTCTCCCACTAGCCTCCACCACCCTATGCTACCTTCCTCCATTTAGGTGTTCTGCCCAGCCTTGGTAGACCTAACTGTAGCCAGAGAGCAGTGAGATTTTTGGGACCACCTCCTCACACTGTGGCACGTGATTCAGAGAAACAGAATTTCTCCTGGAATTGGTGTTTAAAGGGATCGCTCAAGGTGATGGTCTAAATCTCCTTTATAAAATAAGGTATATTTGGGGATGAGGTTGGCAAGTGACCCTGGCCAATGGTGAGAGCCCAGGGTCTGTAGATCTGCTTACTCCGCCTTCTCCACAAACACCCCCGCCTTTGGACAGTCGTCAATTAGCCCAGGCTGGGAAGTCCCGAATGCAGGGCCAAGGGTATAAGGAGGTGTTTTGTGAGTCTTAAAAGAAAAATCTAAAAGTATAAAGAAAGACCAGAATAGATTCTTACAAATCTTGCTGTATCTCCCCACAGATGGCATAGCCTCCCTAAATAGGCAGCCAACTGGACTGAACTGGCTACCCCAGAGGCAAAGCACAGCCTGGGCGGGCAAAGGGGACCGGGTTTTGACTTTGCCTGGGCCATGTGCGGGCCTACAATCTGGTGGGATGAGGGCAGGAGCCAGTGTCCCCTCAGACTTAGAGATGTGCCATGCTATCTTAAGGTGTACGATTACCATCTGCAGGCTTCTGAAGCAGGACTTTTTGCCTCAAAGTTTCACAGCCCAGGACCCAGTTTTCAGCGACTAGATTTTTGGGCTTGTTGAGCACCCAAACCTGGAGTGTCCCAGGTTCGCCCCAACTCTGGAGACATGGAGACAGCCCCCCCCTTCGCCCTCTGCCACCTTGCGGGGTCTCTGCACCCTCAAGCCCTGGCCTTCCCAGGCGCTTGGGGGGGGTTGCCCTCCCCCCCCACCCCCCCCCCCCCCCCCCCGCCCAGGCTCCAAATCCCTTTTTAACATGCCACATTGTCCCAGGAACACAAGGAAGAGAAATTGGGGAGGGGTGGGGGGGATCCGGAGGCCGCAGCCAGCAATCAGGCCCGTCTCTCCCCCTGGCAAGGACACACACGTCGTGAGCCCGGCCTGAAATGTGTTTCATTATCACATAAAAGGCTCCCGTGGCGAAGGAGCCGAGAGGCAGGGCCGGGGGCCGAGTGGGGGACAATGGAGGCTGAAAGCGCTGCCCTAACCTGCTATGTTTCGTATCGCACGCCCATTGTGCGAGGGTCGTTTTAAACTACTTAGCGCTCCCCCCTCCACTGATCCCGGCCGATAAGATATAGTTCTGTCCGAATACATAAAAAGGATGTCGGAGAGCGGGGCGCTTTCGGAGGCTTTTCTGCGCTTCTTGTGTCTTTCACACACACCGCCCCCACCCCGCCTGCCTCGGACCCCTCCCCCAGCCGGGCTCCAAGCTCTCTAGCTCGCAGTTCGTCCCCCTCCCGCTTTCCCCAACTCTAAGTATTATAGGGTGCGGCGTTTCTTTTTTCCTCCCTCTCTCTCTTTTTCTTCCCTTTCCCCGCGCGGTCCGCGCGTCGGTTTAAGCAACCGTGATCTGTGAATAAACAAAGTCAGTAAACAACCGAAAAAAACATTCTAGATCCGAATTCCAGGAGGGTAAACTTTCCATGCCACGTCACACTTCAGCAAATTTGCACAGATATTATATTGCCTCCCCCTCCTTTATTATTCTTTTTTTTTTTTTTTTTTTTTTTTTTTGCTAGGATCCCATTGTACTTAACTGAATTTTATAACGCTGATCGATATCTTGGTAAAATATTCATTTTTAAACTAGCGGGCAGTGAAATCTTTGCTTTGTGTGCTAAAGTCAACAGTCGCTCGGTTTGAGCTCAAATAAATGCGGAGATGCCTCGGCTCGGAGCAGTTGGCCGCCTCCCTCCGCGCGCTGGACGCTCCGCCGCCAGCCCGCCGCACCGCAGGTAGGGAGCGCGCCCACTCTGGGGCCATAACCAGGTCCCCTGGGCAGCGTCCGCCACCCCCCATTCCCGTCCGCGCGCCTCCCCTCCCCCAGCCAGTCCCTTAACCTTCGAAAAGCTCCAACGCAAGGGGTTGGGGGTTCGGGAGTGAGAAACTAAGTCGGTGAAGAGACCTGGGGTTTGGGAGGTGGCCTTTTTTTTCGGGGATTTCTGAGACTGCACCGTGTGGGTGGATGAAGGGGTGAAGAGTTGCAAACAGACTCACTCTGGGGTCTGAGCATACAGAGTTTCTTGAGGCCCTGAAGCTGTGGAAGCCAGGACACGCTCCTGCATCGCCTCTGGGCTGGGGATTCGATCCGACGGCCTCACGTTTCCCAAGGACAGTGAAAGGGTGGGAGTGGAACACCTCTGGCCTCCGAGTCTGGGGTGGGTGCAGCGGAAAATGGAGGGCTGGTACCGGATCGCTGCGGGGCAGAGGCCGGAGAGTAGCGAAGTCCTCCTCCAAAACCTGCGCGTTTGGGTTCCAGTCTGGTCTAAGCGTTTGCCCCACGTCCCTAAGCCGGGCGCAGTGGGGGTCGACGCCGCGAGGCATCAGAGGAGGGACAGGGCCATTCCAAGAAAGGAGTCAACTTTCGTTCTTGCTCCAAGAAGCAGCCGGTGCCCTTTACGCACAGGCGCGCACCGCTACAGACAGGTTCGGAAGCCTCGGGAGTTACAAGCGGGACCCCGGGTGGGGAGGTGGGGAGAGAAACAGGCCACTAGGCCATTTATTTCCATTTTCCCAGAGGCTGTCCGGCGCAGGGGCGCGCTGCGGTAAGGGAGGACGGGATTTTGGAGGGCCGAACAGAACCAATCGCATCTTAACTGCCGCGGGCGGGAAGGCATCGGCTCCGAAAAGCGAAAAGTTCCAAAGCTGCCAGTTGAAACTGCAGGAAACCCGGGTTCCCAGGGCAGGGCATAGGGTACTGAAAAAGGTATCTTTCCTCTGGGGTCTACCAGGTGTCCCCTGAAATTTGCATTTCCCCTAGGGTGTTTGCTTTAAAGAGCTAGACATCCGGCCTTTTTTAAAGTCCGCGCAGACTTCTAGGTATTTCGCCAGGCGGAGAGACAAGCGCTCTTCCTGTCTGCCCCGGAATCACCAGATCCCGAACTCAAAAGGGCAGAAATAGGTTCCTGTGACTGGCAGGGTCAGTTATGTGGGCACCTCTGTGTGGGGAGCACAGGCGTCCCTCCCCGCCTTCCCTGGCGCCCCTGCCCTGGCACTTTTGTCCACCTCACCCGCGGCGGGCTGGAGAGAGCGCCCGCCGAGCTCCAAAGCCCGGGTTCCGGCTCGAGACGGTTATCTTCCCTAAACAAGATGGAACGCCTGCAGGACATACGGCTAGACTAATCGTTTTTAAATAATTAATGCTTCCCCGTTCTGCTGGTAATGCGCGGCCTCGAATCCGTCAATTACTTGTCATTAGACGAGTGTCGCCTAACGGCCTTCCCTCGGGCCTTTGATGGCTCCAGGTCACCCAGCCCAGCCCACTCACGGCCGAATGAAAAGGTGTCCGGCCTTTGAGAGCCGGGTGCGGAGTAGCCGCGGCCCTCAATTCAGTGCGAGTTTTGAAAGAAAGACCGTCGCTGAAGAGATGTAATCTTCCAAATGGCCAATTTA